GATAGCGCATCTCTTTTAGTAAAATTGAAGCCAATAATATTCCAGCGGTTACCCCCATTTGAATAGATGGCGGCCATGTTGGTCGTTCCCACTTGCTAATAAACGCTTAAAAACAACAATAACTTTCATCATTTGAATAGTTTAAAAGCGTATATTTGGAATAGGGTTAACTTAATGTTTAAGTTCCCTGTTTAAGAAATAGAAAACATACGAATCTTCTCATTTCATGGGAACGACCTGAGACTGCATGCAATAACGGCTTCAATTTTTGAATTGCAGAATAATTAGATGCACTATCTAGTGTATATAAGATATCTATGGTTGAGACAGCTAGAGGTTTACAGTTGACGGAAGACTTCTACTAGGCGAATTTCACTGCAAAAAGTCTTGACTCAAAATAATGCAGCCACAGTAACTCAAAATTTTGAGTCAAATTACTCAAATTTATGAGCAATTTACTCATTTTTTTAGTGAAGTAAATCTTTACTCAAAATATTTAGTGATTTGTCTGGAGTAATTGTACTTGGAACTTAAAAAATTTAGTCACTTGTGCATACATTATTTCAATACTCATGTTTAAGGTCAAAATACTCGGGGACTTTTTCATACCTTTTTGTAGCGGTACCATTTCTCGCGGCTTGAACCGTAGCTCCAAAGTTGGACATAGCTAATACATGATTGACATTTTAGCCCTGAAAACGCCCTATTAATGAATCTTCCTCGTATTTTCGATTTCCTGTTCCACTTTAGACTCGATATCCGTCGTTATTGACGCTAGACTCAATATGCCTGAAAGCCGACATCAGCCGTAACAAGATTATAGCTCATGCGAAATTAGCTAGAACGCTCAAATCAAGATTAAAATGGGGTTTGTCCCAAAATCTATACCACCCACATGTATTAATTTAAAAGTTACAGATATACAAACAAACAAACAAACAAACAAACAAACAAACAAACAAACAAACAAACAAACAAACAAACAAACAAACAAACAAACAAACAAACAAACAAACAAACAAACAAACAAACAAACAAACAAACGAGTAAACAAGCAAATAAAAAACAAACAAACAAACGAACAAATAAACCGGAAGCTACAAATTACCTGATCTGTCTTTGTGTTTTGCCGGCGAGATTGAATAGAAAATTAAAATTGAGAATCCGGCGTAGCTCACATGCATGCAAATACTAATTGAACTCATCGTCAGAATCACAGACTGAATATACTGCTGTGTGAAAAAGTGCAACATGTTTTGGAGATTGATTTTGAATTTTGAGGGCCACAGGTTTGTTAGTGTGAATTCACTATTATGTGCTACCCTCCTGAAATAAAATTTTTCATTCATTTGGAAATTGATGTTTACAAAAAATTACTCTCTTTCAAAATACATGCTAACACTGCAAATTATCTTTTGGGCGTTCATGCGATATATAAGTATATTACGATTGCATTTTGCAAATTAAGTATCCCAATCAACGGAGCTGGCGGGAAGCGTAATTATAAAGAAAATTATAAAGTTAAAATCTTTTGAATTCTTGTAACTGTTGCGGTCTCCCGTCCACATATTGATTATGCTTGCTTTACAGTCATTTTACGCGATAAGCAATCACCCCGCGCAAAAAGGATGATAGCAATATAGTTGTTTTTGACATTTAAGCGCGGTCACTATTTTAATAGACAGATATCGGAAAAAATGTTGAGGCAAACGTGACGATGCTGTCTTAATTTCGGCTCAAGATTGAGAGCTAAGGAATTAATTTGATTACTGTAATACATTGAAGCTTTTTAAAATAACCTTTATACAAACGGCTAATTTCTGGAAAAACGATCCGGTGTCTCTGCTATGCCTATGAAACAGATTTGATTTAACTCTTCTAAAGCCACAACAAGCATTCACGTGGCTCCAATGACGTGGAAATCTTAGTTTAACGTTATATTCAGAATGACAACACTGTCGAGGATACCCCTGGGACCACAAATTATTCAAACTTTTCGGTTTGCATGAAGAATTTCTTCGTTTTCGAAGTTGTGTCTTTCAGTTCGCGTCGTGTTTTCTAAATCATGATCAGTCTATTATCAGAAACGTCAACAACTGGAAAAATCCACCAAATTCGATCACGTCTGACGAATTCACGAATTTTATAATTAAACGAGATGGCTCTCGCATTGGCGGACTTTATTCAGTTGTTGACGCTAGTCTGATATTGAATTAGCTGGTTAGCGCGCATATTTGTCAAAAACAAGTATTGCTATCAATCTTTTTGCGTGGGGTGATGGCGTATACGCACATATAAAACTGCTGTAATATAATGATTGTTATAATGTTGGCGAAAATAAATAGATAGTTGTTGATTCAATTTCAAAATGTACATAAACAGAAACGCATAAAAAGGTCACAAAGTCAAAGCTATTTTTTAGGAAGTTATTGAAGTATATAAAGGTCAACTCGTCCTTGATTCGTCATTGTATATAGTCTTTTTCGGGTTTTTCCTTGAGATTTAAAGCTACTATTAATTTCTGATAACTTTTTTAAAGAAATTTTCTCGAAGATTTACTAACTTATCATTATTACAGCTCGAAAAGTAATGACGTAAATTGTAGGCGATATTTGTATGTCATCCAACTTCAACTGTATGGAAACCATACCCTAAACCGCTTGCATGCTAGCGTTTGAGGATGCTTTACATTTTGGACTCATGCTTTACATTTTGGACCTCCCACATTATTTTTATAATAACCAAATATTGCCCGACTGAGAAGCGAATATTGCCCAACTGGCTTTGTTTGCCCAACAAACTGGTGCTATTATTAAGCGAGATTTTCTTGTTTTGACTACTTTTTGCCTGGCTTTTGCCCGACTTTTCGACTTTGTAATCTGTTTTTTTTTTGGGGGGGGGGCAGCTGCCCCCCGTCCCGTACGCCTATGTACGCAATTTTTTACACTGTTAAATCTGATCTTTCCATATGGTATTACATGTTTTACACAATTCACTTTTAATAAATTTGGATAGATTATTAATATCACTTTTGGGCATAATCACAGTATTCTTCAACGGACCTAATATAACACATATCTAACAAGAAATCAATGAATTTAACACTCTGAGTCTGAGAACGTGACTGGATACATAATATACGTGTTGCCTTCTCTGCTAATTGTATTTGATATTCATGCAAATAATATTCAAAACTATTTGAGATAATCTAATAGTGCAACCGTCATTGTCAAAACGTCACTCAAAATTAATGAGATTGAAAAATATTATCATATTTGTAAAATGCCGCCACTCAACACGTTCGCTCGCAAACTAAATTAAGAACAGTATTTGCCCTGCTCACCTCGCGATGACAACTGGCCTTTATAGTCGCCGAATCGCGGGCGGCTCGAATATCGCCCGTATATTGTTGTCGCATCACCACTGGCTGTGGCGCGTACCATGGGTGGTCGCTGCACGCACGCCCTGCACACTTGCTTGCAAGGTCAGAATGTGAGATTTGTTTGAAGTCCCAAAGTAGAAAGGTTGTATCGCGCAATCTATAGCTTGTCGCTGTCTATAGGTTATCGCTGTCCAGTTTTGATGGATTCTTTATGTTTAAGCCCAGATGAAACAAGGATGCAGTCACGCGAGCTTGGTTAGCTGTTCTTAATGCTTTCCCAACGCTATCATGTATTCTATTTTGGTTAAAACATAGATGGAACACTCATCAAACCGTTATTTTGTTAATATCTAGAGCTTTAATTAAATGACCTCGGTAATAAATGCCTGACCGGGGCTTCACCATTATATTTTTGACATATCGGGTGCGCAATAAATTTCTTGATGCCAAAAGCATCTTTGTTTCAACTTATGATGGAGGGAACTATAGGAGACATTGTTCAAGAACTATTATTTTTTTCTGAGCATGTTTGCCCAAACTTGCAGTATACTTCTTTTGTCTTTATGAGTGAATTGGTCAATTACAATATGGCTGTGGCATGTTCATTAGTATACAGGTTGGAGGTCGGTGTCTGACTGTAATATATGTAACTCCCAAACTTACTGATTAACTTCGCGCAATTTTTTCAATCAAAATGGCGCCTGCGGGTAGCTGTGCTTGCAAATAAGAGCAAACACACAAGCCGAAAGCAAATGAGGGCAAACAGACAAGTGAATAATGATTTAAGCTTACTTTGCCACTGGCTTTCTGTTTGATCTAGCAGACAAACAACACCCTAATAAGACAGCCATCGGCATAGACTGAACACACACCATAACGCACCGGCATAATAACACACATTTCTCTTATCAATTAAGTAATTTTCATTTCCTCACGGACTAATAGGTGCTCTAGAGCCGAAACTGACAGGCCAGTCACTGAATTGCTCTTTGCTTGTATCAGTGTCGTTCGGCGCTCTTCTACTTCTTCATGATTCAAATCACGAGAATTAAATCTAGACTGATTACTAGTTGTATAGACTACAGAAAAAACTATTGGAAATGAGTATATAAAACAATATTGGTAACTCCGAATATGAACATTTTGATATTTTAACTTTGCTAACATTTTGATATCTTGGCTGTGCTTCAGTCATCACCAGGAATCGACGTACATGCATGCAGCTTTACTGAGTTGACGATGAGGGCTCAATTCGCGGTTAAGCACTTCTCCAATTCCTGAAAAGATACAGATAAAATTCTGATATTCACGCACACACCTTTCATTGGCATCAGGCCTTAGTGTAAAAACATGAACATGCGGTTAGAGCTCGATAACTGGCCTCTGTAGCTCCGTTGGTTGGAGCGCTGCACCAGAATCCCAGGACCGCAGGCTCGACTCCTGCCAGAGGGCTGATAGTTACATTTTTCGCAACTTCGCCTGCATGGTTAAGGTCCGAGATTAGGTGTAATAAAATAATAAATGTATAAAATTTACACTCAAATTCCATCTACAAGCCCTTATTACAATACGAACTGCCTATTGAAGCTGGATTACTTTATCCCTGAAAAAGAAATCCTGTGTGGCCTACCCAGAGACGAGTTACATTCTGGGATGCGCGGAAAGTTTGAATCATCCAATTGTCGTTCGTGCCTTTATAAGGAGGTGTCATTAACCTTTCTTGACTTCTAAATTATAGAAGGAATTTGTGAATTTTTCAGACAGATAACAAGACTACGCGTCTAATTAAAACTCGCAAAAGATTAAGGTCTACAGCGCATATCGCGGTATGTAAAGGAATAGTGGAATACGAATTCGAAAAATGCGCAAGTGCGATATTTAGAGTTCTCTTTGTGCCTTCTTACCGCTGCGTGCATGAGTGCAGTGTAGTCTATTGAATTAAAATACATGCAGATGAAGTCTGCAGTACATATCGCGGTATATGAAGAAATATAAGTTCGGAAAATGCGCTATGTTCTTTTGCTAGGAATATATGATAGCTATACAAATGCCACGTACGAAGACGTTAATGCGCGCACAAGCCCAGCTTCAGAAGCTTTGGCTGCGCGCCAGAAGACACAAGCGTTTATTTATTGCAAAAATCGCGGGCACCTCTTGCGGTGCGCCTGTCATTGCGCAGTGCTGATGGAAACCAGATAAGCGCGCTGATAACCACGCGGCTCAGTTTTCAATCGAATCGTCTACCGCTAGCTGGAACGCCATAGCGCCGCCGTCGTGTAGAAAGCTCAATTCCTCGCTCATTATTATCCTGCTGTTTCGTGCTTGCTGTTTGGAAAGGCCATTGAGCATTTGTAAGTAATTTGTTTATCAATAGCATTTGTAGTTTGATTATTGTTTCTTCCTATAGCGGCGCTGAGCAAGCAAAACAATCAGCCACTTCACTGAGTTTAGCCGCATATTTAATACACCTTGATTGCTAATACAAATATATCAAGGTTCAGTACATTAAACAGACCTGTAGAATAGTAATTTCGTCCTAAGCTTTGCTTAGATCGCCTGGCTCATGGTAAGGTAGACGATACTAAACTGGTGTAGCCATTTTATACAATGAACTATAATCATTAGTATGTATTGTTATTACCGTAGACAAAATAAACTGAATTTTTCTTTGCGATTTACAGGATTTATTAGCGCGCATTGGCTGCCGGTTTTATAGAATATAAGTGCAAGTTTAATACACTCAATTTCATAAAAGAAATCGGTTGTACTTAGGTGATTTAACATTTTATACAAACTGCGCAAAATAATATTATGGACATGTAAAGCTTGTTATATTGAAGAGTTATGGTAAACATTGCAGAAGCATAATGCCCACGTCTTTTAACACAATAATATTTCGAACACAACACAAAGATGTCAGGTGTATTTGATTTCTACGAGAATCCTTGACAGCCGTTTGCGCACTGTTTACAACACGAAACAGATGGATTTTCACGTTGTCGGGACGACGTAATAATCGCTGAAATGCGTTACTTCCTAGAGATATTATGGGCATTATGAGTTTAAACCCGCGATGCGCACATCTGGGACCTTCTGAAATTCATGTAGGATTTTCCTTGTGGCAAATCTCAGGCAACTTTGCATTCTTATGTAAATTGGTTTACGATTTAAAGAATTAAACATCCTTATACTGAATTCCAGAATGACAAATCGTATTTACAGATGGAAAAACAGTTAATCCAGCCTTGGCAATTGCAAAGAGTCTAATAGCATTAACGACGCACGCATTTGGGCTGTTTAGAGCTCGGTTCAGTTGACCTACTTTTAATATCTTGAATGTCGCCTGGCATATTAGCGAAACATAAAAAAATTGTGGTCTTGTCTGTTTGTCGCAACTTCCTGAATATAAAAACAAATGTATAGGTCCTTTGTCTGGACGTTAATAGGAGACCCTGCTCTTAGTCTATTGTTATTGCAACGGTTAGTTCATCTGGTCAACATTTGCAAATATATATGTGAATTGGAATACTTAAAATCGCTAAGGCAAATGGCTTGCTGTATAGTTCAATTTACACAAATAGAAACACAGTTTATGAGTCATACCTGGCGGGGTTAGTCAACAGTCTACTCCATGCACAAGCCCGTTTGCTTTTGCAATTTTTGCTGCGATTTTAGGTGCGATTTTCTTCTGACGGATGTGAACGAGTGGATGAGCTATAAATGTTCAGACGAGGCTACAAGCTAACATGTATACTCATCACTCATCTACTCGTTCACATGCATCAGAAGTAGAAAATCGCAGCAAAAATTGTCATTTTTTCCTTACGCTCCTCTCCCTCTATAAACGCAGGTTACACCTTGAACGTAGCATGGAAATCCGTAAACAAACACTTCTTCAGATGACGAACTCAGCTCACAATCCTCTTGTGGGGATGAGAAATTTCCATCTAAAAAAACCTTTGTTCACAATTAATGCGCCAATGGTTTTTGTTGGTCGATAAACGTCTTTAAAGTAGGAGAATCTGTGAAGTTTGTGTTAGGAATTGGTTTATGGAAACAAACGGGTGTAGAGTTCCGTAGTTCAACTTCAAAGTCCAACTGTGACCTCTCTTGGTCCACTTCCAGAAACATACATGTATGTCAGGGATACCAACGACAAACATTATTTGCTAGCGCTGTGTTATTGGAAAACCCTGAAAGCATTTTGATGGTGTTTGATAGTATTTTACCATTTTCCTTTTTCGATTTCTGAATTTACCTGCTTGGCCATCTTCGATACGAATTGAAATGCTGTGTTTACATGATTCCAACTGAAATAAGCTCTTGAACGGAGTACTTAGCATTTAACCACGGAATGTTGATAACTACAGTGACGACATTCTCGCTATGTTATGTGGCAGCGCTTGTAGATATTTGATAGAGTTTTAACCTCATTTTTTTCTGACCTGTTCGTCTTACCGCTTAGCGCTCCCTCGGTATAAACTGACAGGCTATATCTTCATGGTTTTAACTTGACTAATCTCTTCGTGTTTGTGTCTGAAGGCTATCATGCTGTCAGCCGTACACTGTTCTGTGTTAACTTGTAGACGAATGTGACGATTCACTGAAGCTGAAGGAGGCCGTCTTCCCGCCAAGCGCGATTCGTTGTCAACCGCCAAAGTTTCGTGCTCGTAGCTACGGTGAAACTTTTCCTTCTTTCTATGGCTATAAAACAGCCTGGCTGCCAGGTGTACACTGTTCCATCTGTGTTTTGTGAGACGAATGTGGCTATTCACTGAAACAGATGGCTTTATGAACATTACAGCACTCGCCCGATGCACCCCGCATTGATTACTCCATAAACATAGACATCTGTTCTGAACTGAGAGATTGAAATTTGCAGCTGGATTTTGAGTGCATCAGGAGGAAATGTGCACACCGATTGTTCGGTCTTGTGGACAGACATAGTGCATACACACAGGTGCACGACTAAATACACTTGCGCATATTATGCGAGAAGTTTCTGATAGCAAACACTTTAGGACTATTAGTATTGCTTATCATATTCCCTAACATGGTACAAACAAGAGCCCAAACTATTTATCTGTCGTAAAAAGCCTTAGACTTATTGAATCTCTAAATAATAATGATCCTGTATACTAGCAAGTTTGGTTATGTTTAAAAGTCTTCCAATAACTTTGCTACCCTCTATTGAATATGTACTGAGATTTAATGAAACATTTGCGCAAAAACCAGACTACAGTCTATAAAAATTAATACTATATATGATTGAGGCTGTTACATGCATTTACAATTGCAGATAATGCAAAAGTTCACAATATGCAAATATACATGAAATGTCTAAAATAATATTCATTGTATGATATTCAGTCAAGCATATGATATCTCAACTGCGATATCTCAAGCGTATAAGTAGTGTTCTACATTAATTTTGTGCGCGAACTACCTGAAACTGAATATTTTCAGAATACTCTATGATGTTTCTACAAAGGATTTGTTTGCACGATATACAGTACACCATGCACGCACTTGCAAAATTAATGCGTGGTAGATTATTATTTCAGATTTATAGTCTCGAATGGTAGCATTTATGGCGGCATTTACCATATTCCACGCTTGGATTAGCTCGAATATTGTTGCCAGGGGTTGCGGAAAAGCGAAGGCCGCTGTTTATAGCTAAATCGACGTAATTCATTTCTCAGACATAAGCTATACACTTCTGTAAGCAACAATTTTAATCCTTATTAAATTTCTAATCCTAATTCAAAATAAACCGCTACATTAATTTGCGCCGAAACTAATCCTTCGAAAATCCAAAGACAATCGATCGTGCCATAATCCCGAAAATCTTGCCCCTGGCTATGGAACGCCGATCTCCAACCTTAATCGAGTTCGATGGACTTAAGTTGTTTTTATGTTGGGGCAGGGTTTCAGTTATATTAGTATTTAGACTATTTTACTTGTATACATAATACTGTATACAGTATTTTATTGTTAAAATAGGTTGAAATATGGGTAGAAAGTATCCCACATGTATATTGGTATACACCCTCGCCCCTGTTTATTGGTAGGCTTCAACAAGCCGATGAAGCAAATTTATAGATTGCATTTCTCAATTCAATTCTCCTTCAAAACATATCACGTAAAGAATATTAAATCATTATTTTCTTCCTCTCGTAGTTCAGCCAGGCGGTACATTTCACGTGCAATTGAAATTATGCCACTATTTAATTATAGGGACTAAAAGTCTAAAACGTCAAAATAGGCAATCCTACATATAGCTATGTGCCTATGTCCTTTTAAGACTGTAAACTACATATTTTTGAAGATATGCTGTAAATACACCTATTATGGACTAGCATAGGTCAGCCAGAGAGGCCTAATGTTGGAATGAGTCTATCCCCTTTTCGCTTTGCATGAAACAACGCTACTCGTACGCTGAGTTGGCGCGGCAAGAAGTCGAACCTCTCGATCTTCCAGATGAACTCTAGCTCTTTACCGACGGAGCTAGTCTCGTAAACTAATGTACTCCAATCACTTGCCGCCAATACGCTAACAAATTTCATAACCTCACGCCAGAAATCTCTGGTGTGGCTGAGTTCATGGAGTGCAGTTCTGACATAAATTGCGTGTTGACCACAATCGGCTGCATTTCAGTACGTGATACGTGATCGGCAGATGGTCGTCAGAATTGGCTTTCTCACTGTTTTTCCACGTCAGAGAATCTAGACAATCTAAGCAATTTGAAAAGTGACTTTTCAAAGTTGTAACTGTAAATTCATCATTAATCATTACAGCACACAACTACAGTGGTAAAATGTCCCATTTCGTGGTGGGACAAAATGGCGGATAAATTGCATGAACTTTTTTTTCAAATTCCAGTCTTTTTTCTACCTGTCACCTCCCTCCCTCCCCCCCCCCCTTTATACCTAGTAATGGTCCACCCCTTAGCATCAAATACACCACTGTAGACCACTACACAATGACAACTTGCAGCAGTGGGGTCAACCAATTCTTGTCAATGACAAGAATTGGTTGACCCCACTACTGCATGATATTGCACTGAATCCCGCCCACCTATTCGAAGGCTTATTCAACCCATTGCTCAATGTTTCGGGCTATTTTATTTTGCAGGTATATTCGCCAGGCGCCGACGAAATGATGGCACAGGGACCCGGGGAAGCTTCTCAATACCCGACGAAACATGCTCTTTATTCTGATATCTACTACGGAGGTACGAATTTTTATAAATTTATTTTAATGCAATGAAATTGATGTCAGATGATTTTCTTGTTTTCACACTCTGACCATTTTATGCACTTCTCATGGACACTGCTAATGTTTGACTCGTAACCAAGTTCCTATTTGCTACGGTCGGCTTTGACTTGGTAATTTTGGACTTGCGCATTATATGCAAACCTTTCAACCAAAACCTAAGCCGCAGAACCAAACATTTTATAACGCACAGCAAGTCAAATAGTTTAGCGCCAGGTTTTAATATCACGAGAAGTGCACGTGTTACGTGTAAATCCACGAAGGAATTATAGAGGTAGGGGCCAGGTAGTATAATGTCATAATGGAGTTCAAAGTAGAAGCATTCTGGTAATAATAAGCTTCCGTAGTTTTGTCTGCAATGCGCTCATTTGGTTCCACTTAATTAAAGATATTTCAAGAACACATACCATATGTTCTAGAAGGAAAAACCTCTTAGCTAATACCAATTATGTAATCCAGGGGTCAGCCGGAGGGCAATTTCTTATTATGAGATTATATGAAGAGCAAATTCGAACTGCGCGCTTTTCAGCACGAGGCTGCGAGCAAATCGTAGAATTAGATTTTTACGCACTCGCGCACTTTCCGAACCAGATATAAAGAAAGTGCCAATATTGAGCTTATCACTCATTGGTCAGCGGATTTCCCAACAGGCTGCAGGCTGTTGCCCATTTGATACGGAATTACTGGGGCAACTTACGATATTCGGTCATCTGAGTTACTCGATAATCTAAATTGGAAACCTTTCGAAGAAAGACGAAATTATCTTAAATCTATTTTCATCTATAAAATTCTGAATGGCCACACCGCACCCAGTCTTAAAGAAGCATTTCAATTTAATAATGAAAGATATAATACTTGTGCCTTGCATTGGAATAATCTTCCCCATGAGGCAAAAATTGCTGAATCCTTAAGCTCTTTCAAATCGATATTGAAACAATGAATGAGTTGAAATTTGCTTGTGTGTAATATCGTGCAGCTAAAATCACTTGTATTTTTTTGTTGTTATATTTTGTATTTCTTGTAAATAGTTAATTTCTTGTAAATAGGTAATTTCACGCCCCTCATGGAAACCAGCCTTCCAACGGCTGTTGAGGCTAGCGTGGTTTAAATAAAACTTAAGTTTAACGTCCTTTTCCGAGAAGACGCGAACGTCTAACCATTTACTGATGTCAATGTAAAACTAAAGGTAACTCTTTTTCCTCAGTTATTTTAAGACAGGTCCGACCAAGGATAGACCCGGGTCTCCCAGCTAGACAGCGAGCGTAGTGACCACGAGTTTATAGTTCTATACGGTTTCATACGGACCTCTTACTGTCTTTTTCGTAGCTAGAGACGGAGTCCAACAGCGCACGCACGGTATTTAAATCCAATTACAACAAAGAGAAAATAAACACATTTATTTCCTGTTGTGAAAACCAAAATTCAAACTGCTTTTTTTTTTCCTAATCCCCTGAAATGTGGAACAAACACCGGGTGCATTTTAACGAGCTTTCTCTTGTAACCTGTGGCGCAGATTAGGATGGTGTAAAGATTACCAACTAAACGTAAAAGTATAAATTAGAAATTGGAACTATATCTATTAAACATCGAAATTTGTGCACTGACTATTTTAATTGTGTACAACAGTTTACGTACGAATGAATGGCTGTAAACAATTAAGCTTGTTTTATATCAAACCAAAAAATGTTTCTAATTAAATATCAAAAAAATAAAACTGGTACAATATGTATCTTTTTGAATCAAAGATTTCAGTAATAAATTTCAAACATAGAATAACTTATACTTGGAACAACACTGAAAATGTCTTGCCCAACGATTTTTTATTAAATACATGCAAATAATGAAATGAGATTATTCAGTGGGCGAAGCTAGCCATAACAACTGGTCATGCTATGCAAGTTTTTAAATTATTCAAACTTTAGAATTGATTTTATATTGCTTTTTGAAATTATTTCTCGCTGACACTGTTTTCAACAAAGTAGGAATGCTTTCTCATAATTATATTCATACTTCGAAACGCGCATTCATATCCTGCCTCTGCACAAGCGAAGTGAATCGAGTCACACCCTAATACTGTCCCTAATCAAGAAAACTCTCAAAGAATAAATTCTATATTTAACTGATATTTTACGCTTTGCGCAAAGCCTTTTGGCGTTGATGTATCGCCAGGATGCATATGGCAAATGCCAATATAGTATCTATAGTAAATATTGACGATTTGTGGCATCTCGCGCTCGATATAACTGAATGTCAAAGGGTTTTCGTAGATTGAAGTTTTAAGCGAAAATGATATACATTAAACTTGACGACTGGGCGCAGCTGCGCAAAATGCAATCGTAGGCCCTCTGGCAGAAGCGTTTATATCAGATGTTGCGTTTTTCAATTCCTGTCGGAGGGCATTGCTGTCAGGTCTAAAAATGTGTATGATCCTGGACGACCTTTGCCAAAAGGTTTTTAATATGTACCCAAAATTCCATCATCGACGCTTTAAAATTTCCGGATCGTATTAATTACCCGGGAAACAACATAAACATTGACATGATAAGTTCCTAGCGCAATTTCAGGCATGGCCGTTGGCGAATCCTCGCGCAATTTAATTCATTGTGCGCGTTTTGTGTAATGCACGCACATAATTTCAAAGCATCGAGCATGCATTCCAAAATACTTTCTTCGTGTTCATCTTATTTTGATCGATGGCCGACGATTAGTCCCCCCCCCCCCATTCGTTTTGGGCTGGCTAAACCCTGTCTGCATGCATTTCAACATACTAACGCCCGTATTCTAAAAGCTCACTCACACTCACACTCAATGAGTGGAGGTTCAATCTGAGCTTTTCTTGAGTGTCAATGCTGTTTTTGAATAGCTGGAGTGGGAGTAGTCACATAGTAAGGTACGACACTAACCCTCCAGCTATTCAAAAACAGCAATGACACTCAAGAGAAGCTCAGATTGAACCTCCGCTCATTGAGTGTGAGTGAGCTTTTAGAATACGGGCGTTAGTATTCCAGGAATATTTTGATGGATGGCCGACGACTAGTCCCCCCCATTCGTTTTGGGCTGGTTACACCCTGTCTGAGTTATTAACTTGCACTGCAAATCTACTTCCATCAGAGGGCGAAGGAGGGGCAATCTTGTACTGATTCAGCCCGCGTGAATGTATCAAATCATCAACTCTTATTCCAAACGAAAAACGAAGCCAACACGTTTAATTGAAGCCACCTGGCTTGAAATAACACGTAGAGTTTTACAGCTTCAGCCAATTTGCTTTGTCAAGTGCGCCCCATCCATACGTGTCTACTCATGTTTACTACATGGCTAACAGTTAAACAGCCACTTGCTTGCTTTAAGTATGTGTAAGTATGTTGAGATAGGAAGTTATCAGCTGCATTTGGCTATAGATTATTTCCAGGTGTTTATGCGAGTCATGAGAGGAAACATGTGTTTAGGACGTACTCTAGACATCAGACGAAAAATAATTATGAAAGTCCTAGAAATATCCTTAATCCTTATTGACTGCAGTATAGTATAGTCTATCAAGATATGATGATGGTCTGGAAACTTAACAGAATGAAGTTTTGGCGGAGTTTATGTTAATTTGTGAACGGTCACGGTGATTGAGCTCATTGTATTTTCGTATAATGAAGTAATCGTAGGGATAGCTGGAATGAAACGTGCAACTACGATGAATAATATTTAATGAAGTTGAGACAAATGATTTGTACACTGCGAGGTACTGTACAGTTCAACATCGAACAAAGGTCTTCTATTTTGTGCCAGAACAATCAATGGCAATTTTAAACGTAGACAAATTTGGCGGCTAACGTTGTTTTACATCGTTGCTGTGCAATTCACTACTTTCAATAACTCACATGCCTATAGTTACTATTGTTCTAGTTCACATAGAATACACAAAAGTAACTTGGCGTTAGAATTATGTATAAGAGTTATTCACTGATGTAGATGATTCTAAAGTTTAGTTGCCTTAGTCTGTTCTACAGTGCGTCTCAAAAAAAAGTGAACCTTTCAAATTCAAATTAGCTATAACGTATTGTAGTAGTTTGTCAGCTCTAATTGCTTTGAATTAATGGTTGGGTAAGAACACAAGGTCTTGTACTCATGGTACAAAACTCTTAAAAACCTTTAAATTTTTATGTCTTTGAGTTTTGTCCCATGAGTACAAGACCTTGTGTTCTTACCCAACCATTAATTCAAAGCAATTAGAGCTGTCAAATTACTACAATACGTTATAGCTAATTTGAATTTGAAAGGGTTCACTTTTTTTAGACACACTAGCTGTATTACCACATTCCTGGTAAAATTGATACGATCATAGTTCTGGCTGATTTAACCGGATTCCTGGTTAATTTAAGCAGGCTATATGGTTGAGCTAACCAGATTATGTTAGGTGGATTATTAGCCAGGAATTCTTGGTTAATAGTCCACCTAACATAATCAGGTCAATGTAACCATTTAGCGTGGTTAAACTAACCAGGACATTGAACCAGAAACACTAAGTTACCCCGAACAAGGTTAACCAGGAATTTTTATCCAGGGTGTTTTTAAAGTGTATACAGCAGCTAGTAAAGCCACATTGCAAATATGTCTTCAAAGTATTCTTATCGGCCTAAGTTTTAATTAGAAATTTGCTTATCAATCGCCTGCATTGTTTTCAACGCATACACACAGTCTACCGCATTCTTTAGCCATGGACGTGTGATGTGCGTATATTTGCGTTTCTTTGACATCGCTTTGTTTTTATACGCTTTTAATTATTCCTACAAAAATCTTATTAACCTTTGTGCTGTCAAGAGCCTCGATTAGTATAAACGAAAACTAAATTACTGTCTGTGTACACAATAAACACAATCAAAATCGAACAGGCAAATTGCATTAGCCCAAAGGTCGAAGGCTAAATTTCTATTTCCAATATTTAAGCTTAACGAAATTGCTATGACATGGTTACATGAATAGCTGGGCTACTTGCTATAAAATTTGATGTAAAGAATCTTATATATGCAAATTAATAATCCAATGTTTAATAATGTTTATTAATAAATTATTTACGCATTAAATTGAAATGCGTATTACAATTGATACAAAGAATAAAATAAGAGAATAAATAAATTTTACAATCAAAGGTATCAATACTAGCTAACTAGCTCACACCATTATAAATGTATCTAAAATTTCTGAAATTGTAAGATTACTCTTTAACAGTCGCTAAGTGATTTGTCATGTAAATCAATCGAGTAAACAACTATAGCAGCATAGACGGCTTGACTATTTAGTCTTATTTCTCTTTGTCTTATATCTGGTCAAAAATTGCTGGAATCACTGAGTATTTAAATATATATATATATATATATATATATATATATATATATATATATATATATATATATATATATATATATCTCTATATATATATATATATCT